TGCAATAACCGTTTTTAATTACACATAGATCGATACAACCATTGAAAATACTGTATAAAATATGTGTAACACGACATATAATAAAAAGTTTAAAACATTTTCTAAAAAACAGAACTGTGATGATGCCCCCAGACTTAGCATAAACCACTTTTATGACCCTAGCCGTGTAGCCCCTAACAAAAGAACAAAGCCCAAACACTTGCTATGCATGTTTTTGCGTTTGTTTTACTTTTTATAATGAAGATATACAATTCTGCCAATTTTTACCATAAAAATGGACTGTTATATGTTTTAAGTCACTTAAATAACAAAAAAATAATACAAGAATATTTTTAAAATCTATCAAAAAATAGGTGAATTGAAGGAGTTCTCAGCGAATATGTTCTTCGGAAAAATCTGCGAATGTGTGAAGCCGCGAATGCTGAAACGAAACGCAAATAAGCGGGAGCTCACTGTAGAACTTTCTTTTATTTTTCATTATTTTAGTGGGTGTATGTGTTTGACTTAATATCATTCATTTTTCTTTTATTTCTTTAAACAGTGAAATTCTGGCCAAGATTGAGAAATCCTACTTAAGGAAATAAGTCTCCTGGTAGGAATTGAACGTGTATTACCTTTTTACATAAGAGAAACCATTCCTATATAGCCGAAGCATAGTGTTACCAAATTGACCACTAGAGACCATCAAGATCAATTACTAACTTTAGATTAGTAGATCTTTTGTTAGGGAATTTAAAAATAAAAATAATTTTACTTCATTTTCATACTGGCATGGTTATGATCTACATGTATCTGTAAGGAGCAATGAATATATCAGGTTTAGTAACACTTGCTAAAACTCAGGTGAGTAACAGTAACACCTTGCTCATTATATTCAGTCCTGTTATGTTGGTAACAATTCAACTCTAAAACATTTTACTAAGATTAAATGATTTTTGTTGCAATGTAAAGGATTCAAAAAGACAAATATATGTAATTGTGTGTCATGCATGATACACGTTTAGGCGATCATGTATCTTTTGATACACGACTGACGAAGCAGATTTTTGGCTGCCATTTCTTTCTGTAGGAGACCAGTTGACATCCAAGGCTATAGAACCTGCTCTGTCCTGCTATTTACCCATAACGGTGGGGGGTAGAACAAGAGGATTAATACCTTTCCCAAAGGTATTCATGTAAGTGAATGTAATGGATTCGACTGGAATTTGAACTCGGCTCTCTGATTTCTCAATCCGAGCTACTATTCATTACTCCATCATGCCTCCTCCTCAATATATGCAAAATAGATTTTTAAAAAAATAAAACAAATTGACATAAAAATTATAATTTAATGATATGTTTGTACAAGACGATGCATTTTGTGTGTATTTTAAAAAATGCATTGTATAATACAAACATATCATTAAATTATATTTTATGTCAGTTTTTTTTATATGCAAAACTGATTTAAAAATTGGCATAAAAAATATGTAAATTTTATATGTAAAACAGATTTAAAAATGGATATATAAAAAAATCTAATTTAATGATATAATGTATTTTGTGTGTATTTTAAAAAATGCATATGAGAAAGTTCAATAATCATCAAAAAGAAAAGTTGGTTGTATGTTTAGTGGCATATCAACACCTCTATGAATTATTTAATGCCAAAATTTAAATATTTTGTACATGTTTTGGAGAGGATAATGGTTTAGCATTACAATTTAACTGATTAATCCATAAGTGGATGGAAGGGAGAGAAAAGGTGGGTTCATACCTTTCTCAAAGGTGTTTACATATATAGGATACAAATCCTATATTCCAACAAATGACTAAAAAAACACAAAGTAGATTTGCACACCCGCAAAATCGGATCAAAACGACCAAAAGCAGATTTCACAATAAGGTGTGAAATTAATTTTCTGACCAATGAAAGGAGGCGATTTGCTAAACAAAAAAAAAAAGATAACGAGCCAGTGTGAAAAAAAAGTCAACAATAAATACAGAGTTTTCAAGTCAGTCGCCAGTCAGTCAGTCAGAGAAGGGCGCAAAAGATCACAGAAGATTGACAGTAAATTTCATCACTGACTCAAACCGACACAAAGAGCCGAAAGTGGAGTAGGAAAGAACAACAACAACAAATTTACAACTGACTCCAAAACAATTCATAAGTACATTTTCCTTTTATCTTTATTCCTCATTCACACTCTTTTTTTCAACTTAAATTGCTCGCCCCTTTTTCATTTGCAACTATACAAATATATATTACTCTGCTACTCTGTTAAAAGACAGCGAACACAGACATTTTCATCAAAATCACATTTTTGCTTAAACGAACTAAAACAGTAATCTTTTTTACCCTATTCACAAGATAATAAATATACAATGTTCTATTTTCTATAAACGTTCCTTATCGTATTGTTTCTTCTTGAAATTTGCGTTGTATTTTGTGGGCAGGGTATCCCATATTAAATTCTCCTTTAATCCGGGTACGCTGAACCCCACACATATAAGTGAATATAACAAACCAAGCAGGAATTGAATTCAGCTCTCAGATTAACAATTCTAAGCTATTATCTATTATACTACCTGCACCTCAAAGCTTAGGGCACTTTGCATTTCCAACCAGTCACCTATCTAGGTACTATACTTGATGTTATTGAACTTTGGTGGTCGTGTGGAAATTCTGTTTTAACATGATGTGGCCATAAGCCTTCATTAATTTGAGAAAGAGTTTCCAATGACCTGTTCAAAAAAAAAAATAAATAAATAAAATAATGAAATGTCATTTTAAATTGGATATGTTAAAATTAAATGTTATAGTTTATAAAGCTTATAGAATCAAAAATACTTATGGTATTCTTTGCCTGTTTAGGTATGTGCATGTTTGTGCGAGTGAGAGAGAGAATGACATGGTTGTCTGGCATGCAAGTATCATGGCGGTATTTAGCATGTCAAGGCTGAAATTTGCCCTGTTTTTGTGATTGGAAGAAAGAGGATAAAAAAATGCTTTAGAGGAAAAGTTTCAGAGTGGGGGTTTTTTTGGGGGGGGAGTTGTTTAGTCAGTACTATTTCAAATCAAGCTGTCAAAAATAAAACTAAAAGGAAAGTATTTATCATGCAATTAAACAGATCCTTTATAACCAGTTCAAAGAGACAATATGGGAAAAATCCTTGTGGATCTATTTGGAAATATTACAGGGTTGCTGAATATTATTTTCTAACCAATCAGTTGCAACATTAGAAAGTGGTTTTGATGTATTGACCTATTCTATTATAAAGCATTTCTTTTCAACAAATAAAGCCATCTGACAAGTCTCTTCACAACACTTCACTTAGCAGTACAAGAACAGTTCAGAAAGTCAGCTATCAAGGAGAAAGTGCTGCCTTGCTGTATCCAATACAGCAATGCAAGTTAAATTTACATCCACACACACACACACACACAACCATAAAAATAGACAAACCTTACTAAAAACTACAAAGTATAGAAAGTTATGGAGAGTCATGAATAATCTCCATATCATATCTGAAGGATATTTCATACAGGTTCTTCAGACTGATCAGTTCTTTTTCTTTGTTACATAGACCATTTATATTTTGCTAGCAAAGCAAAGCTTCATAATGTTGTAACCTTTGATGCTGACTGTTCTTTTGTGTCTATCAAGGGTTTTACTTTTATTCAATTGATAAGAAAAAAGATTACCGTTTCTTTTCTTGGACATTTTGAAATATGTTTTCTTACTTTCAAATATTATCCAAAGTTCAAAATACATTGTTTTCCATTTAATAAACACACATAAATATTATGCCTTTAAATTCTTTGAGGAACATAGGACCACAAGATATCATTGAAGTTTCTATAACAAGCGAGTTCTTTTAAGTGAGTAGCTTGTTAGACTACTGCACAAACCCCAACCTGGAGGATCAGGCTTTGAATTCAGAGTTGTCCTTCTCCTAGACCAGTTGCTACCCAAGGCTATAGAACCCAGTCTGTCCTGCTATTTACCCATAGCTGGGGGAGAAGAGGAGGATTCGTATCTTAGTGCACAAGTGAACGTAATGGATTTGACTGGAATTTGAACTCGGGTCTCCCATTCCTCAATCCAAGCTGCTATCCATTACTACACTGTGCCTCCTAATAGACACATGCAAGTTATTATTGTCGTATGAAGTTAAATTCTTCAAGAAAAAAGCTATTATACTTATTGAGCATAAAAATTCTATTTATTTATTTTGAAAAACTGAATCTGTTCAGACAAAATATTATGAATCAAGAAATTCAGTTTCCAATTTGTATTTGATCAAAGACAATCTTGCAATCAGAAACTTTGAAAAAAACAAGTCATAAAGTTGACATGGCAATCCGTTTTTAACATTTTTCATTGTTTTTTGAAGCTTTGCTGCATTTTACATGGACCACCAGAGAGAGAGAACACACCAATTTTAGTTCCTGGCATAACATCTGACCAATATTCTTGCAAGCATAGTTCACCACCACAAAGCACCTAAGTGAGTTAAATGAGTCTCTTGTGTATGGAAAAAAAGATCCCATGAACATTCACCTTTAGAAAATTCTATTACTCTTGAAAGACATCTATTGAAAAATATCCTCATGTATATTTTTTCTCAACAATTTAAATAAATTCTTGTTAACCTCCTTTATTTGTCTATTTCTACTCTGAACTAAATTTCAAGTTCATTTGATAGCAGAAGATTCATTTCAACTAAACTATGTCTTTGTTTCCACCAGGACAAATTGATGGATTCATTTTCTATGGCTTTTTTGCAGGTTATTTAAAGCCAGAAAATATTTTTAAATTGTAAGAATTTTTTAAAAATAATAATAGTTTAGTGATACAAGTTTTACTAATTAACCCATAGCTGGGAGGAGAAGAAGCGGATCCATACCTTTTCCCAAGAGTATTTGTGCACAATATAAAGAACCCAACAGGAATTGGAATTCAACTCTGATTAACAATTCCAAGTCATTATCCATTACACCACCTGTACATCTAATCTTACAACACCTGGTATTCCCAAGTGGTCATCAATCTTGGTCTGACCAGGCTTAACATTGCTTAACTTCAGTGATCATATGAGAATCAGTGTTTCATTGTGATGTGGCCATAAGCCACTAGGACAAAAAGTGAACATGCATTTAGAGATCTCATTTAATGTAAATAGATTTGAAGTAATAGTTACTTACCAGTAGAAGCTTCTCTTGAGGAAAAGGGGAGTTGTGGCTCTCCACAACTTCCTATCCATTGTAAATCCAAGCAGTGTTTGTTCCCTTACATTCACATTTGCACAATCTCATTATGTAGATTACTTGATATTTCTCTGTCCCTCAATATGTCCTGTGAATGTCAAATTCTCCAAGTCCTCTTTCCTCATCATTAAAAACCTCCTCATTGCTCACATGTTGTCTCTATGGTATCCTAAGCTTCTTTCTGTAGAATCTCAGCCATTGCTTCGTCTCTTCATCTGTGAAGAAATAGTCTTGCACTCACTGCCATAGAAGAGGATTGATATAAAATAATAGTTTAGCACTCTTTTCTTTGTTTCTATTGAAGTTTTCCTGTTCAGGAGAAGCTATTTCAAATATGACAAAATATAATAGAAAAAAAAATATGGATGCCTCCAATTTTGATAGAAAAGGAAAAAATCTCCTACATTTATCTAGATTAATAAAAAAAAAGATCTGTCCATTTAGTCTAAACTAAGTAATAGTCTCAGTTCTTATAGTCTATGCTTGTTTTGACTTGTCTACTTTTCTTTTCCACTTGACTTTCTCAGCAATCAACCAACTGGCAAAAATCCTGAATGGTGAATTAAAACAAACCCCAAAAAAAAAAAAAAAAAAAAAAAAACAAAACTGAGTGACAAAGATTCTCCTGGCAAGAGAGAATTAAAAAGAACTGACTTGAGAGAAGGACCTTTGGCTTTTATAGAGCTCCACTAGGTGATCTTATTCCAGTCAACAGGGGTGATATCTCTTGTTAAAAAGCTAAAGTCTCTAGCTGGTTGATTGAAGGTTGTGAGCTCAATCCCTCTACTGGGCAGTACAGTTTTTTCCTCTTCAACCATGGTCCATTATTAACAGCTTTTCATCTGACATTTAGTTGAAACAGGTTTTCATTTAGTAAAAAAAAAAAAAAAAAAAAAAACATATTTACAAAAAAAAGAAAGAAAACATGAAGAGGGCAAGAAGAAGCATCAGAAAAAAAAATGTTATACAAAAGACCAAGTTAGCAAATCTCAGCCTTTTTTAAAGGTGATTATTAAATATTTATTTTTTCTTATAAAGTTCATCATGTTGTTTTATCAGGTCATCCCATAAGTTCTGTCCGAATTTTAACTTTTTGTTAAAATGAATGAAATTTAAAGAGTATTTTATAATGTCTAATGGAGCTGAACATTATTTTTATATTTAGATGCATTTAAACTGATCAAATTTTATTTCAGAGAACAATAAAATTAAATTTTGTTTGATTAAAACCCTGCTAACATAGAAGTACCCAAGAATCATTTGAGGCACATAATGCTTTATGAGTTCAAGAAAGGAAACTCAGCAGCCAAAGCGGCTAGAAACATTCACTCAGTTTATGGAGAGGAATGTGTGAATGAAAGAACTTGCAGAAGATGGTTTGCAAAATTCAGAGGTGGAGATTTCACCCTTGAAGATGAAGATCGAACCGGACGTCCAGTTGAGTTTGATGAAAAGCTTCTTGAAGCAGCCCTTGAAGAAAATCCTGCTTTATCAGTTGAGGAATTGGCAGTGGTTCTCAGTTCAAACCATACAACTGTTCATCGTCATCTTCAACAACTTGGAAAAGTTCCTAAACTTGGAAAATGGGTGCCTCATGAATTGTCTGAAAACAAGAACTTGGTTGGGAGAAAACTCCTCATCCACCTTATTCTCTCGATCTTGCTCCTTCAGACTACCGTTTGTTTTGTAGCTTACAGAATCATTTGGAAGAAACAGCTTTTGTAACACAGGAAGAGGTTAAAACTGACATTTGTGAGTTCTTCAAATCAAAGCCAAAAGAATTTTACAGTAATGGAATTAGTAAGCTTGTTAATAGATGGAAGGAAGTCATAGATAATCAGGAAAATACATTGTTGATTGAATCTGTAATTAAATGTAACATTTGGTCACTTGTTTTCTTTATTCAAAATTCAGACAGAACTTATGGGATGACCTGATATATCTTTGGATAGGCTAAAAAAATTATAAATTCTCAAAAGGTATTGTAGTCATAGCAATAAATAAATTACTAAATATTCCAACCACTATTACTAGACTGTGTAGTAGTCTGGAACCAAAATCTTACTTATTATAAAATGCAGACTTTGTGTGTGTGTGTGTGTGTGTGTGTGTGTGTGTGTACGTTTATATATTGGATCGGATTTCTTACATTTTTCAACCGATTTCAACAAAACTTCACAGGACTGCGTAAAATTACCTTGCGGTGGTTCTGACAGCACCAAAAATTGGAAAAACACAATTGTTTTTGCATGAAATCAATTTCAAAACACTATAAAATATAATTCTGTCGCCAGAATGAAAGGGGGACAACTCATATCGAGTTATACTTATTATAAGATTCAGGTTGTTTGTGTGTTCATTTATATATGGAATCGGATTTCCTACATTTTTCAACCGATTTCAACAAAACTTCACTTGTTTTTTGCAGGTAGTGTTTCTTATTGTCTTGCACACTTTTTTCTTTATTTTTACATTCAGAATGCTTTAAAAATTCCATTTACAAGACAATTGTTTATAATAAAATTCTATTCAATCGGTAGACTCATAACGATTGAAAACAATGTTTTAGTTTGAGTTTTGGGTTAGACCAATTCGTAAAAAAAAAAAAAAAACTAATTAAGACATGCGTGTCCGTCAACCTTAAACAATAATCTTTGTCAATTTTATTTTTCAGTCTTTATGATGGTTGATACTTGATCTATCCCCGGGCTCTACTGCTAGTAATTAATAATAAAAGAAAAATTAAGAAATAAAAATTACTTTAAAATACAGACAAAAAAGGTAATTAACAATAAAGAAAAATAAAGATTATCAAAAAAAGTTAAATAAAATATAGAATACTCTCATGATGCACCAGGACAAGTGTTTTGCTACCAAAAGAAACAAAAACCAAAACTTTCTCTTTTTGTTTTTCGATCACCAAAGACAGACAAACTTTCTGGGCATTCTCAGGAAAGCATGCTGCCACCAACAGATAAGAAAAGCTTCCTTATTTCTGTATACATACATGTTCTTTAAAATATGCAATTATTTCTCTGAAATGTATATAAAAGTATTTTATCATTTTTGTCTATGCTTATTTCGTTGTATCTCATATATGATTTTGTTTGTAATATTAGAATCCTGTTGTGGTCTGATCATGCCCTTTTAACCTCCAAAAATACATATATAAAAAAGATTACATTCAGACAAGGCCAATGCATCACCAAAACACCCACAACACTATCAACAGGAACATGGCTACCACTCAATGGTAATAAAAACAATTACAAATTTAGTTTATGTCTAATTTAGTTGGCTATTTTTCTACAAAATGTTAGGCTGTAAAAATATTTTTTTATATTAGAGGGGCAAAAAATGTTTTAATGCCTTTTAAATATGTTAAAGTAGTCAGTGAGCAAAAGAAATGTTACAGTCTTCCTGAAACAAGATCTTCTGGTTCATGCTACGCTAATTTCCACCAGTGCTGGATGTGAATGCTCTGAAACCCAAGACTGAACTAAAATTCCACCAACTGCGTATAGGCTCTTCACATAGCTTCCATTTTTACTCACACACTCAAAGAAAAGTACAATCCAGAATTTCCATCCAATGGCACCTACTGCTGCCTAAAGAAACAAAATAAAAATTGGAACCAATCTGAGCCTAAGAAAAGGACATAAAAGCACATCAAAGAGACATCTAGGGCAGTTGGACAGCATAACAGCCTGGATTCATGACACTTGTCGGAATGTGACCTCTCATCTCCAAAAGACAACTCACCTAAGGTCATTGCTACAGTAAGTCAAAACTCACGCTCCCTCTCCTAAATGACAATATTTTACATGCTGATTTTCAAGGCAGTTACTCCTCATGGAAGTGTGGGTAGACAAATAGTTAAAAGTGCAAAGCAAACAAAAAACGTAGAAGTGAGCAGGATACAAATTCTGACAGAGTTTGTGTGCATTTTGCACGAATGCCCTTGGAAAAGGTCTGAATCTCTTTCCTAAACCCTAGGTAAAATAGCAGGACAGAATGGAATCTTTAGCCTTGATTGGATATGTTATGATTATACTAGTTATCCTATGAAAGTGCAGATGGATTAATGATTACTGTGAAAAACAAAAACAGAAAGCAAAGTTCAAATTCTGGTTGAAACTGTTTATGTTCATTTTGAACTATTGCCCTTGGAAAAGGCATGAATTCATCTACTTTACTTCCTAGAAATGGGATAAAAAGTAAGACAAAATGATTTCTTCAGCCTTGGTTAGCAACCAGTCTAGGAGAAGTAGAACTGAATTTAATGGAAAACCACTATTATCATTCTCAAGAACAGTCATGGCAATTTAGTTTGCAGATGTTGGTGATACGCTTTGGAAAGTTAAGATCACTATGACCAGAGGATAAACAACACTTAAAACAAAGTCCCCTCCCACTTAGACAATTGATGCAGCACAATATTCTTATTTCTGCTTTTGCAGGGATAAAAATATTTGTGGATCTAAGGATTATCTAGAAGGTTTTTAACATTACAGCTATTACAAATATAGGTTTTCCTATCGTCAAGTACACACTTCTTCCTGGTCTTTTGAGTAGAGGTTCATACCTTGTTTCCTATTTAGGATTGGATTTCTGGTCCCTTCTAAATCCTACTTCAACTCTATAATCCTAACATTTCCACTTCAACTCTGAAATTATATTCAAAAAATCTTGACCTCTTCAAGTCTAAAATTAGCTGCCTATCTTTCCAGTTATCTTGCCCTTTCTTACGCTAATACAATTCCACACAGTAACCCTCTACCTTGAGTGACTCTTGGGACTTGTATTGGATGAACATTAATAAGAAAAAGTTTTAACATCATAAGATTTTATAAATTTCATC